GAGAGAGAGATTTGTTCAATTTTATGGAAGGGTTATTAACAATTATTGGGAACAAATAAGAAATAATATTAAATTAATCTGATTTGTTATAATAGAAACTATGATGATATGCTATGAGTTATCAGTAAAGCATCTGTAACATTGAATATTACGAACTTATAATATTTGCTAAGTTAGCTATTTTCACTTTCCTAAATTACTTCGGTAAACAACGACAATCATACAGAATGGATTATTTGTAAATAGTACATAAATAAGTCCAACATTGTCATTGACATGTTTACTTTGACTTTGGGTAATAGGTGATTCCGTTCTATAAAAATCTTCCATCCTTAATGATATATATATACATAATTTTACTTCAATCTTTCATGTTTGCAAAAGCCATGAATCTGAATTTAGCTAATACTAACGTTATTTAGTGAGTAAATACATTTCAAGTATTGTTACGATTGAACATTTTTTACTAAACCGTTTTTATCACTCAAAATTCCCTTTTCTGTAAGAATAGATTTCGGTTTTTATTTGCTAATTTTCTTCAGGTGTAACGTTTCTTAATTTTACTATAAACAAAAATATTTTCCTCTATTGACTGGTCTTATTTTCAGTATTTTTATATGTTGATTAACTTAATTTTATATCTCTATGGTTTCTGAAATAAACCTTCTGATCGAAAATTATCTTTCTAGTAACTGTTAATAGGATGAAGATTAAGAATTCCTTATATTCGCTCTTCATAGAATCAGTGGTGAGATAAATCTGTAGTTTAATCAAAGTGTTTCAGCTTAAATTCAGTCTTGAAACTAATACTCTCGAATTCCCCGTAGAGTATTCGAAAACAAAGGATACCTAAGTAATCAATTATTTTCAATGACTTCAATATCAGGCTTTATAGTCATGAATCCATAATTATTTTATTACAATGGCCACAATAATACATCTAATAACATATATACTATGCCTATCGAAGATACGAGTAAATTTAATAGCTTTTGAAGTTAAAATAATGAGTTTTTAAGTTGATTAAAACCTAAATGCGTCCAAAATATCTCATTTGTAAATCTTCGGGGTGGTTTATGCTTTCGGATTTCTCATATACAAAAAAGAACTCCAGGAATGTGAACTAAAGTTTCTAAATGACACTGATGAATAAACTGAAAAAAAGCATATAAAAGCCAAAAATTGATACACTTCAGCTGTGACATATGAAAATACAGAAAAGTCCCGTAACAAATATTGTGATATGAATGTAGGATAGCTTGTAGAAGCTAATTTCACCTATATCTGACTCCAGTAAATAGTATCTCGTCAACTGAGCATTTAATGCAGGCTAAATATTCTAGTAGAATTATGGATTTACTTGAGATTATTCAAAAGCCTAAACACCAGTTATAGAGGTAGTTTATTGTTAAAGATTGGTAAACTTCGCAAGCGTACAGGAATCAAGCACACATGGAAACCAAGAGTGTGTGTGAGAGTGTTAAAAATCCATATATATATATATATATATATATATATATATATATATATATGTTAATCAAGTATGGATAAATTATTGATTCTCTGTATTACAACCAATGGGAGAATAGATTAAAAATTGACATGTGCTCAATCATACTCACACAGAAATTTACATAGTGGATTAAGTGTCTAAATAACAGTGAATAGATAAATAATACAGTAGTTGAATGGGCTTACTACAAGCTTTAAAGCTGCCATCAAACATTAATTGTATGAAATATATTTGAATGACTCGTAGATTGAACTATGAAAATACTACAATCTGCGCAGAGCTCTATACTGATTTTACTAAACAACGTGGAATTCGGAATAAATGTTCATCAACCCAAGTTGACATGCCACATTACCAAAGTTAGATAAAATTAGCATGATGAATAGCAAGGTAACAGTCTCATCGGGAGTGAAGAAAATTAGGCATAAAAAAATGGTTTGACAGGAAATTATTTGGGGGGGGGGGCGGTGTGTAAAATAGTTTAGAAACTCAAGATCTGAAGGTGTACAAGGAGAGAACTGATAGAAGTCATAGTGACCGAGTCTTATTCATACAAAACTACGTCTTCATCTACTGATCACGGCGATTGGGCGGAGCCATATCAGGCTTTTTACACCATTCCATATGACTCAGGCAAACACTCAGCATTTCAACGTATTGATACCAGGTCTAGGTTTGGTTGTCACCAATTTCCTTCTAATCTAATCCTCTTGCGTTTGTCAGAGTTGCGTATCGGGTTCACGAAATACACGTACCAATTACCTCATCTACCTATTTATTATCTACACCCAGTACCCTGGAGCTAACCTCATCATTCATCTTTCGTCGGTTCCACCATGTTTAGGCAATGCTTTGATGATACATCTGAATATCCTCTACTTTTATAGGTCTCGTCTCACAGCCATAAAGTAAAACAGCACAGACTGTAATACAGTGTATTCGCCCCATGTTAGACTGGCGAATATCTCTCCTACTCTATATGTGACGCTGATATGACGGAAGAAAGAGGTAAAACTATATTTTTACTCGTTTTGACTTTTGGTCAACATTACTTCGGCTTTTTAATTCAATGTCATGGTTATTCAGAGCAATAATTGTTTTGCTTTCTAGTGTGATATTTTATTCGTTGTAATATAAATTTATATTAGTGTTGTGTTTATTGAAGATGCGATAGTCTTGTATTAAATCAACTTTAACTATTCTCAGTATGACATGCAGTATGTGCTTTTTTATAACTCTGGACACTTCATATATGTGATTCCATCCTAATTAATGATCAAAATGGTTGTAGATTCAATATATGATGAACGCAATTTTGACTAGGGTCGTCGTGTTTTGGGGTTAGTAAATCTTCACTTGTACCAGTCTTGGTGTTGTTACCTCGCGCCGTGGCAATAGCGGTAATTCCTCATTTTTTTTCAAGCTTATGTGATAAGTGACACGGATTTAATAGACGTAAGTTGGTAAAAGTCAATCGAGAGTTCTATATATGTACCGAGACTTCATTAAATGCTAAACCAACAGAGACGATGAAACTTTTAAGAAAAGTAAAGTAGTCAGCAAAAACAACTGGTTTTTTTTCTGCAACCAGTTTAAAGGTTAATGCAGATAAGTTTTTGCAACATTATCCATTAACGAGAACAGAAATATATCCTAAATATGCTTAGATTGTTCCTTGGAGAGTTTATAAGATTCTTCATTTTGTCAGGATCTTCATCAAATAAAACTCTATCATCTGCGCATCGAAACTCAGTAAATAAGTCTCATGATAAGACACAAATCCCTGAAAAGTCAAGTGGATAAAGCTTTATCTCTAAAACTGTATCCGTCAACAACTTACATATAAATGGAGACATTGGGCAATTTGAAGGAACAATGATTGTTGTTACCAGTTTTAATTACAACCAACTGTAAGAAAATATTGCTGGAGTAGAAATACTTCACAAAGTTTGTTTACTTCTTCGGTACACTTTATAGTGATAATCATCGAATGTTGTCTTCAACTCAAGAAATATCACTATTGTCAAACAACAGTAAGTAATCTTTTGTTTTATACCCTATCAAAAAGTGGCAATTCGGTTGATACATTCGTGTCCACGTCTGAAACCCACGTGGTTCTCCAGAGTTCGCTATTCATCATCTAAGTAAATTGCTGGATTTCTATTAAGGCTTACATTTTTGGCATCGTATTATACTCTGTTAAGATATTTATAAATAGATAGATATAAATTCTGCTCAAAGCTGATTGAAGTAATAATAATTCAATAATTCAAATGTTTTCTGAATAAGGTTTTATTTCAGGATGTACGGAATTTTCAAAGTAGATTTTAATCACCAGCTAAGATTATCTAAACAACCATTGTGTCCTAATTTGTAACTTTTTAAAAGTAAGCATCCGGGACCCTACATCCCTAGTTGTAGCTGACTTGTGATATAAAACGACAATCATTGAACGCTCTACTTAGAAAAATGTTTGCAATTCCAACATACAAATATTTGACGGTTGTTTGTTGGAATTCATCTATTAAATCCAATAAAATAATTTTTAGTAACGTTAAATCGTCTTAAGAGTTTATTACTTTCTCCGTTTAATGTCTTTGACATTAAATTTGTTTTAACTTGCTACATTTAAAGCAGAATATGATAAATGTTCCAGTGTACCTCAAAGACTAAGATTCACACTTGGAAATTTAAATAAATGATGAAATGTTTAGTGATGTCCAAACCATTATTTACTATTTTTTGATAAGTGAAATACATATAAAACAAGAGTAAATTATCAATAGCTGAGATCATGAGTCAATTGAAGCTAGACCATCACGGAAAACCTGGAAGCACTGAATAGCCGTCCCGTCCTATTACGAGACTCCTCAGCACTGCTCATCCACGACCATTCCTCATCGGACTCGAAAACAGGACATATCAGCATCGTGTGGGAACGCTCAACCACTAAACCATTGAGCCGGCATCCAGGGGTGTTAATGCCTAACTTCAACTAATCCACAAAATTCACCCACACATCCACCATTATCATCATTGAGTTCCTATCTCACAACTGATTCGGTTCAACTCTACTGGTCACTGTTTCTCACTAGAACTCCATGATATACACCTTGAAGCCGTTCACTAATGAGCAAATGTTGATTAGTATCAGAAGGGTTTTTGTAGATATTGTAGTAATTTCACTAATTGAGATCATGAGTTCATTGAAGGTTGACCAACATAGAAAACCTGGAAGCACTGGACAACTATTGAAATTACTACAATCTCCATAAAATCCCTTCTGAATAGTAAATTACTATTCAGTCGTGGAACCAAGGTTTTTCATCCCGAATTATCCAGTTTCAATAAAGTATTCATCAATTCAAATATAGTATTTCTTTTTAAATATTTTTATTATAATACTATATTGCATCAAGAAAATAAGATCAAATGAATAAGAACTGAAAATTGATGAATTCTTAATATTTCATTTTTCACTTGATAATCAACTACTTTCTTTCTCTTCTTTTTCCACTACGCATAATTTTGGCATTTCACCTGTTTAATTATAGTTAAAAAGAAGGTAATCAAGAATGTGTTTTATAAAGGAATCGATGTTAACTACTTAGTTTCATAATTATAAACTGAGATAATGAGTAAGAGGATCTTGAATAACACCGATTATTTTATAACACAATCAAATGATGTGAATATTTTTGTTAAGTCCAATGAGACAGTTTTATATGTTTACTGTAGTACACAGAGTACTTGAAAGAATGATCAATCACGGCTCAGTACATATCAAATACAAAGTTATACAACATGTGAAAATAAACTTTATGGGAAGCTACTTCGCTGACCAATAAGAAGCAAAACAATAGACATGTCTAAATATTTGTTTATCTTAAAACAATGATGATAACACTAGATAATAATGAACGAATATGATGTCATTTGTGGTGTTTCTATCTTAATAGTACACATTTGACTTTTAAAACAATCAAATCCCATAAATCATAGAAGAAATTGTAAGAGGACAATTTCAAAAATAACGAATTCCAAAAATTACCAACTTCATAATCTGGCCTATCATTTTTAGTGCCAAGCACTTTATAACCTGTATACACACGTTTTTAATATGTATCTGTTGGTTGACCTACTATTTTATTCTAACTAGTCAAGTGGGAAAGTCTCAGAATAACAGAGTGCAATGTGGATTTGAATCCCACTGGAAGCATTATTAATTTTGACATTTGGAATGAATACATATTTGCACGAAATTCAGATCTATAGCTTCTTCTTTATTACTTAAGACATTTACAGTCTCATTGTTTTCGAAAATATTCACTTTTAACATCACAATTACTGATAGCAATCTTATTTGTCTAACAGCAAATATACTTCACTTACGAATCGGTTCTTTATTCTCTGAAGAAGTGGCTTACACTTGGTCACGAAACGTCAAAAAATCTAATATTTCTACTTATTGGGATATTACAAATATGTTATTTATCTATACGTCACTTACTTCCTACTTCTCCTTGCACTGAATGGTGTAAAAAGGGAGAAAGGTTTCGACAAAGTCATAAATACTATTTGTCTAACCATAAAAACTACAAATATATTAGATAGATATAAATCTATCCAAACTACTCAGAGGTAATTTCATTTTATTTAATATGGATTTGAAGTTGGAACTGAATCGATCAGTTCATTTCAAACTTGATTCACCACTTATCAATTACCAATAGACTGATATATTACTAATCTAGCTTCGAAAAGTTTGGAAATTCATTGCCGTATATTAAATTTACAAAAAGGATAAACCACATTACCTATAATACCGTTTATCAGTAACATAAAATTATAGTCTGACAACTGAGTAGTTACTTCAAGAAAAAAGCATAAAATTCGTTTGCTGAAACATTCAAACCGAGTTTTACCTTTCACATAATTGTTAGTAAATAACATAAATATATTATATCATATCACATATATAGGTAATCACCAAATCCATGTAAATATGACATATATGAGACAATATTAATGTTCAAGAATTACATTTTGAATATTTTCAAGTTTGTTGTCATGGTGAAATGTCTTTTTTTAAAAATATTTATTTAGGGATTTAGGGTTATGTTAAAAGTTTCATTGTCTTACACTGAACTAACATATTTTGACAATACAATTTATTTAAAATAAGCTGATAATTAGAATGACTATTTTAAAAACTCTATCAAGAAGTTAACTACATCATATTACTTATTAAATAAATAGAAACCAAAAAGGTCAAGAGACTGATCCAACATTGACAGGAAGTAATTTGTACTTTCACATAGATAATACTAGCCAAATGATAAAATTTTGAGTTTACAATTAGTTAGATGGTTTTATAAGACTGTTTATTGATTTACTATAATAATATATGCGAAAATGAAGTTCATTTTCTAATAACTATATCTTCATACTTTTGATAATTATCGATGATCTATTATTTGTATGCAAGTTTATTTTATGTTTAGTATTGATGAACACATCCAAATACCAATGCATTATAACTAAGAGTTAAGTAAAGTATAAATAATGACATAATTCTTATGTCACTGAAGAGAATTTTAGTAATACTGATTCATTGATTCAGTTCAAGAGTTTCGATAACCCTATCCATTAGAACTTTGATTTGGTGAAGAAAACAATAATACAAGTGAAATATTGCTTTAAGGTTAATGTATAAATACTTCATTCAAAAAGAAAACTTTCGAAACTTTATCAAAGGTGTTAATTCATTACAAAGTTCCATTATAAGTTTTGATTTTAAAAAAGGTAGTCAAAAGTGTTTGACCTCGTCTTAAACACAATGTTTTTATACAACTTTATTCTCATAGTAAATACGACAATTAACAATATTTTCATGTGAGTTAATAATTTAAAATGACTGAAGACAATGGTCAACGTGTGGCTCAATCTCATGAATTGGTTGGAGTTAGACACTAACACTGCTGGATGCTGGCCCAGTGGTCTAGTGATTAGGTGTTCACAAGCGGGTCCGATAGGTGTTGGGTTTGAATCCCGCGAGACGTGATCATATATGCTCACTGCTGAGGAATCCCACAATACGATGAAATGGCCATTCAGTACTTCCAGGTTTTTCATGGTGGTATAGCTGTAATTGAATCATGATTTCAACTATTAAATTACTATAATATCTACAAAAACCTCTTTCTAAACTATAATTGTTTATTATTTTCAAAGTCAACAGTTGAATGGAAGTAAATTTTGTTTTAAAACACATGAAATAAATATAGAAGAAAGGTGAATTTTCAATAAGGAAAAAGGTATAACACTTGAAAACAATAATGAGATAGCTGTAGAAAAGTGTAAGTTTTTGAATAGCTTTAACAAGAGACAGTAAAAAACAGGAAATAGATTAATAATTAATTCTCAAGTGATATCGGTAAATCATCTGATAATTGCCTGTAAAGCAATAAAAATGACTAAATTCGACTATATTGACTATCATATTCTAACTCTTTTATGTACAGGTCCTACGCGTGCCACCAGACCTGAAAGACATTAATTCCATTGCTAAATATGTGGTGAATATGCACTGCTTAGGAGTCACACATTTTCAATACACCTTGCTCTTTTTAATAATTCAGCAGGCGTCAATCCGTGACAACCAAACACACATGAAATGAATAGATTTCGTTATATATCATGCTATTCTGATATTTCTGGATATTTTAGCCCATATGTTTGTTTAAAAATATTTACGAAGCTTTACTGAACAGCCTATTAACTTACGTTCAATATCCCCACATTCTGTAAAACATTGAGCAAAATAAAAATCCAAGTCAAATAATCTTTAACATAAATATATGGAAATTAATGTCAAAGGTACATAATTATTAAAGGTGTGAATGGAAGCAAACTGCTGAGAGGTAAAGTATTCAACTGAAAATGTTCGTTTACGTTAATACATAACGACAATCATTCATATTACATCTTAAGTACTAACAATAATAATATTTCATTTTTAATTAGACAAACAAAAAGTGATTTTCACTGTAATGCAAATCACAATTAAATGAATATTTTAATTTTATATGTTGAGTTAACCAACGTAAATCATGGGAAAATATGCTGAACAAATAACCACATTAAAAATCACTACTATGCATTAAACATTCCTACCACCGTTAAATCAATATATCATAAAATGTGTACATGTTTTGTACTGGTTTGATAAAAGTACAATGCTTATTATCGATGGGATTTTTTATGATTAAGTTCACCATATAGATTGGAATGAACTGAAGAAATATAAATCACAACGTTTTTCAGAATAAACAGCTTACTCTCTTAATGGTGATGTGGAAAACTATTTTATTATAAGCTAACAGATACCATACAGCATAAATGATAAACTGCATTTTATAATAATAAATATGATAATAATATAAATACAATGGAGAACACATATTCTAAGTTAGAGTTGTCTTGAAAGTGCTTAGTTTGTACTATTATGAGTCATGTTACTGATGTTTGATAAAACAACTTGAATAACTGAATTATGTATGCGATCCTTATTTTGCCAATAATATTTCATAATCGCTGAAACAACTATATATAGATTTACCTTATGATATTGTGTAAACCATAGAGATAGTGTCACTAATCAAAATGAACTTACGAGTAGTTGATTCATCTTAAAGAGGTAAGTTAAAAATTGTTAATAACATTGAGTTTTTATTATAGGGAATTTTACAGAAATTTTGTTATGAAGTTTTTATTTTTAGTTTTATGGGGGTCTACGGAGACCGTTGAATTTTTATAGTTCACATCACAAATTCAATAGCTATTTCATCCTAGTATACGACTTCATGGTATTTTCTATGATCACTCATGACCTACAGGGATCATTGTGATCACTTGACTATTAAACTCCTGAGCTAAGATATAAATTGATTTGAATTCTCAACTACAGTTAGTTTGAGATGTTCTGAAAACATATTTCGTTTCGTTTTTATCTTACACATGTTTATTTACCTTTAGATAGAAACAGCCAGTTAATGAGGAAATACTTTACACAGCATTTGATTTTATAATTTAGACAGGACAACTAATACATATATCGACTCCGAACAAACTACAAGCAATTTCTTTATTTGTTATGGTTGATAACCGATGGTGGCATTCGAAACTTTCAATATTAATTAGTCAATAAACTGATCGGATTTAATGGGTGTTATGTTAAATACAAAATCTTAGCAAGAAGTGCTGTTGTTAATTTATATCGAAGTTTTTTATAGTTTTGGTTTTCTGTAAAGCATATATCATGGCTAGAATCCTAAAGAAATAGTTTATATCCTGCGTACTTTCTAATTATGCAGATAATATATTCTTAGTTTTTCAAATATGTCAGTTTTATTTCTAACTCAGTAACTGAAATCAGTGTTATCGATTTAAAATCTTGATATATCTTGAAAGTTTCAATGTATTATATGAACTCACCACTTTCACATTCTAAATAAAAAATAAAAAGGTACCCCTCTTAAAATTATTTAAACCTTTAATCATTTGAATGCTACAAAAGTTTTATACTGTATTATTACATTTAATAGTTTTGTTTATTATTGTTGTAAAAAGTGGATAATATGAAACTTACCAAAATATATTGCATCAACTAAAAAATATTGAAATAAGATCTTCAAAATATCATCAAGAATTTCTAAATTGAAAATGAGTATTTCAATAATAGGACGAAGCGTCCTTCCAGTGCTTCCACGTTTTCTATGATGATCTACCTTCAATTGACTCATGATCTCAATTAGTGAAATTACTACAATATCTACAAAAACACCTCTGATACTAATCAACATTTGCTCATTAGTGAACGGCTTCAAGGTGTATATCATGGAGTTCTAGTGAGAAACAGTGACCAGTAGAGTTGAATCGGATCAGTTGTGAGATAGAAACTCACTAGTGATAAGGTGGATGTGTGGGTGAATTTTGTGGATTAGTTGAAGTTAGGCATTAACACCCCTGGATGCCGGCTCAATGGTTTAGTGGTTGAGCGTTCCCACACGATACTGATATGTCCTGTGTTCGAGTCCGATGAGGAATGGTCGTGGATGAACAGTGCTGAGGGGTCTCGTAATAGGACGGGACGGCTATTCAGTGCTTCCAGGTTTTCAGTGATGGTCTAGCTTCAATTGACTCATGATCTCAACTATTGAAATTATATTCTCTTAAAAATAACTACACATTTAAAAATATAACGATAAGATTGATGTGGATTATGTTTATTCTCAGGTCAATTAATTATGCTTACTTTCATAATGTTTACTTAGTATTCTGTTATTTGGCGATGTTACATTTTTTTCTTCCAGATTTATTTTCAACTGTTTTTTCATGAATGGAATATTTACTTGAAGATTTCTATGAAGTTTCACTTTGACTTTAGCAGAAAACGATACAATACTGCTGTAGATAAAACCTTGATTAAATGTTGCGTCACAGACTTTTGCTTTTGGAAGACGTAACCTCAAAGATGTATATGTCAATTGTGTCACCTGAAATTAAGAACATAAAAATGAGTAACTCATGCTCACTACGAAAGCATGGTTAATAAATATCAATAATGAAGAACATATTTTGAAAAATTTCTGAAGCTTGGGCCAAAAAGGTGGATGAAAAATTATATGTACTTCTGTGAGAAATATCTTAATAATTCTCTTAATATGTTTCAGTAAAGCTTCTCTTACAACGGTTTATTCTGAATCCATTTATTCTGACTAATCTGAATCACTGAAATAATTAACCAGAGTATAAATATCGTGTTGAAAGTTGCTTATCCGTTAGCAAGTTTGACAAAATTAAGCGAAACGGACTGTTCACTCAAACAAACAAAAATTAGCAGGTCTTTTTTTTTCGGTACCTCCAACTGCATTTACCAAGTTACGTGTACATGTCAAAGCACATACATTGGAAGAACAAAGAGAAGAGTGAGTGTTCACATTTCAGAGCACGTTCCAAAGAACCTGAGATCAAGAAACGTCATGCCTGTAAACAGTGCAATAACACGGCACACTATTGACATTTAACAAGCCTGCAAAATTATTAGCAGACAGAAAAACGTAGCGTCTCTCCAGTTTGCCGAAGCAATATCAATAAAAAACCTCAAACCTGATTTATGTATCCAGAAAGAGAAAATAATAAATATTTTTGTCGCTATGATTAATTGTTTGTGTTTATTTTGTAATGCGGTCTTCCCTTAAGTACTTTTTACCTTATATCCATCAAAACTATTCATTCACTTAGTTTTTTTAACTTATGTGAATTCTGCAAAGCTTATTCATGAATTACGTAACCCTTCTTATCAATTTATAATTCCAGTAATCATATGTAAACCATTCACAACCTCTAAATTATCACACAATCTATCTTATCCGTCTCCGGGCCTCATTTAGTTAATGCATTATCCATCGTTTCGCACCATCTGTTTCTTACACATTAAAGCAAATGCCTACTTTAAACATAGTCAACGTGGTTGGATGATCTATTTAGTATACAGTTAACTGAAGAACGATGCACTTGTTTATATTCGATAATCTTGATGTTTGATCATGTTTCCTTGTAAAAGCTTGGACCAGAATGCCAAGTGAAATGTTGGATTTACGTCATATTCGTTTGCTGAAATTTGATAAAGGCATTCTTCTTCCTTAAATTCTCACATCAACTCGGCGCTCAAATACTGTGAAACAATTAGACCAAATTTAGATAGGAGTTCTTATATTCCCCCCACCAAGTTTTTGAAATCCATCTTCAAATGACTTCTAACTTGTTCTCACAAATATATACATATATATAATTATTATCGATAACCTTTGTTATCCTAATGGTTTTAGGCATCTAATGAGGAACCAAAACATATAATTAATTCAAATTATTCTACACCAGTTGTTGTTCTGTCTTGATTCAAATTCATAAGAGGAACCAACTGCATAATCATGCATCTCATGTGACTAATAGTAATGTGCATGAAAAGATTCTTTTTGTCATTAACTAGAGTATGCCATAAGAATAATTAAAGTCAACACAACTGACAGAAGATGAAATGACAACACATACAGATGATCAACCCAATAGAATTTTATTTTTAACTTAGTTTAAAACTCTCAAATATATGTAACAGTGACCTCATCAAGAAATCAATCCAAGATTTTCAAATCTTTTGGTAATCATAATACATTTAGAGAACTAAGTTAGCATTCACTAATTTATTTACCTGATACCCTATATTACGTAAAAAGAATCATAATGAAACTTATTTTCTTCCATCTAAAATATAACTTACATTTTCACAAAGAAATGGTTTCCATTCATTTATTTTAATAAAAATATCATCTTGAAAAAATTTTTCATAGCACTCCCCATTTTTTATGTGTCCATCAAAAGTAACTATTAGATTTTCTATAAAATTCAACATAAAATAAATTTAAGTCAAATAATTAAATGAAAATGTAATTAAGTATAGAATTAGTTTACTTCTTTATTTTTTTAATTTCTAACAGAAATTCACCCTAATTAAGTCATTTACTTATTAACCAAAATTCAAATTCATATGATTTTAATCATTGGAAAATTCCCATTATATTAAAACATAATTCATATGAACGAAGAATATACTTTTCAATGAATTTCTCATCAGATACTCTACAATTATCTCATATCTAAATTAATGATCCATAAACGTGGCCGGATTTAAGACAGAGTACATCATTTGGAAATTGTAATATATGAATTGAGAATTGTTGTTTGTTATATAAAATCAATTTAGATCGTTAATGTTGGAGCTGACTAATATAAAGTGTTAACTTGAATCAGTTTATAAGTGAAATGAAAATTGTGAGATACATGATCAGAATAAATATGATCAACATCATTCATTGCACAATTTCATTTCGCTTATAAACTGATTCAAGTTAACACTTTATGTTAAACAACCCTAACATTAACAATCTGAATTGATTTTATATAACAAACAACAATTCTCAATTCATATATTACAATTTCCAAATGATGTACTCTGCCTTAAATCCGGCAGACTTTGTGGATTATTAATTTAGACTTATAATTTTAGAACCTGATGAGAAATTATTGAAAAGAATATTCTTCGTTCATACAATTATGTTTCATATGATTTTAACTGAAGCATAAAGATAAATTGGAGTTTTTCAAGTTTCATGTTTTCTTTGATATAATCATTTTACTAAAGTGATTTATAAATAACGGAACTATTTCTTAAGACAGAGACAATCAATTACCACAATAATAACGATGATAATAATAAAATCACTTATTTAATAAGTTTATGTTATCAAGTTTGATCTAGGCTGTTTACTTAAAACCTGAGGATGCTACCCTATAGTTCAAATAAAATTCGATGGATTTGTGTTTGAACCTACTAACTACTGATTAAAAACCGACACTATAAAAAAAATAATAAGACGCCGTTTTAACCATTAGCAGTGAACTCTTAGATTAATTAGATTAAGTTGGAATTATGACACGCTGAATTTGCAAGATAAACTGTTATCATTAGTCTTTTCAAACAACATTTTTAAAGTTTTGTATATCTGTTGTTCCTCTGATAAAAATGTCAAAAGAATAAAACATTTAAAACCAACCTAAAATATCTGGAACACTTAATCTTTTACTTAGAACCGAAAAGCGTCTTAAATGAGATTTACTAAGATAGGTGATAAGTTTTTGACTATTGAAATTGGCTTAACATGAAGTTACATATTTAGATATCATTGAAATCTCATTTATTTTATTAGCGTAAAAGCTTTCAGTACATATCGAACATCGTTGACTGCATAGGCGAAGATTTTTCTTGGAACTGCTACAAGATAAATAATGACAATAACTGAGCTAATAACACTTTTCTTTACATATTATATGCATTAGAGCCTCATACTAGTGAATACGTTTATATGATTGATAATGGAATGAATACCAATCAAATGTTGGGTATTTATTTAAATATTTGATAAATCCAATGTTATCCATGAAAATAATGATATATGATTAAGATAACTATTTCAAGGTTGTGACAAACAAAGCAATAATAAAGCTGAAAGACTTAACTCAGTCATTGCAATCTAACATGCTGCTTTAAAATTTACTGACTGTAAAACATTCATTAAGAGCATTGAAATATATCGTTTAAGTAATCACATGTTACTTATCCATGGCCAAGTGTGAAGAGATGGTAGTTGTAAAAGGATAGAAAAGTGAGAATAGAAAAATATTTACATAATGTAAACAGATTTCAAAAGCTTTTAAGTAATGAACATATCGTCCTTTTAATGTATTTTTTCTTATTAGTAAATGATTCATTTACAAAACGTAATCGGTAATAAAAACCGATTATGTAACACCTCTGTGACGAAAACTCAGTTACTCCGTAAGGTTGTTAGGTATACCGATAGCATACTCCTTAATTTCAAAACCTTAACATTGAAAAAAATATTTCTATTCAAGTAACTAATGATAATTAGATAGTAATTTTTTTATATTAATACGGAAATTTATAAAAATGATGATGACTGGGTATTTCATGTTCACCCAAATGTTGTCGTTATTTTAAATAGATATGTACTTGATAAAATAAATTCCCGTAAAATGATCTCTTTTATATGTATGTGTGTGTGTAAGGCAATATTTCGACGCCTATATCATTCTATTTGTAAGAATGATGATATCCTATCTAAAGAAAGAAATGATAGGATATTGAATTTCAATAATCTGACAAAATAAACTAATATAATGTATCTATTTGATAGATAATTATATCCAAGTCACACAGAAGACAGATACAGAGAATGGATGTAACTATTTTAAGATATTACCAGCTATTTATTCCATCTTGATCGTTTATTATGTAATCTATCAAGACAATAGAAAATGTAATCATAAAATCAACAACAACAAAAAGAAAGAAAAGATAAACCCACTGACCTGAACATATCATAACACATAGATATGAGATAATCATGTAATATATCAAATTCTGATACATTTTCAGCATACTGGAATAATAAAAAATAATAATAAAAGAAACCTTTCGAATTTTTCATGAATTTATATTTGTTCCAAGAAATTATTAAAAAGTTTCTATTCACTTATAATTGAACACGATTAGTTTATTGGTTGAAATGGATGACCTAATTGTAAATTCACTATTTTGTGAATGTGTAAATAATTCATAATGAATGGATCAGTTTAATTTATATTTAATGTATATAATAAACTTATTCCTTTTTTAAGAATTCCTTTTCACAAGATTTAAGTATACAAGATTTTATGTACTTTAATAGAAATGAAAAGGATACTATTTGTACTAGATAGATGGATTGGTTTAAGGAAAAATAAGATATACATATATAATTAAATATCAGAAGGGGTTTTGTGGAGATTGTATTAATTTCCACGGTTGACATCATGAGTCAATTGAAGCTAGACCACCATAGAAAAACCTGGAAGCACTGGACGGTCATTTCGTCCTATTGTGGGACTGCATATAATTAAGTCCTTTTTTTATCCTTGAACTATACAATTACAAGTTAAATCAATAAAATGTAAATAATAAGATCGTAATCGAAATTGTAACTAAAACAATTTTGACCCTAATTTGTGTTTTTTTTCCAGTGTCGTATTAAAAGAATTTGCAATTTAAATTGTGATATACATTTGGCATGATTGTTATACAAATGAATATGTTTAAGAACTACTAAAAATCTCAAAACGTTAGCTGGTAAATTTTCATTATATTGTAGAAATATTGGTTATTTGATCTTAGTTTTGTGGATCAAAACTTAGAACTCTTTTATTATCATAGAGATTCACGTTATTGTTCTATTATTTTCAAACTGTATCGTAATTAGGATTTACCATAATCAGTATTTTGATCTATTTAAACTTGTTACAACAACAACAACTACTATTGTGACATTTCAATTCTCAATATTATTTTGGATTTTGCAAAGTGAAAGTATTACGTAGTTCATATCTTCTTCCATTGGTTAAAGTATTTTGTATAATTCAATGAACATTATGCTGTTCATTGATTTCATCATCCTTCTCTGAGATGTAAAATCTTTTTCAAAAACACCTATTTCTTTCCTTATTCACATCACTGTCTGTAACTCGTCCTGTCTAATCAATCTCAATACATCAAGTATCGTATGAGTGGCATTCATAACTAAATATAAATAAATGTCAAAAAGTACCTCATGAGGAATCAGACTTTGTGAATATAGGATAATGCACTGTAATTAGCAAATAAACTCATATCATAATTATTTGGAGAGTAAATGTACTGGTAAGCGACCAAAATGAGTTTGCAAGTCTAGACAGAAAAAAAATCAATTAAAAGCAATGAGAGAAAAGTTCTAGAGAAAAAAAACATTCATTTCGACAATAATGCTGATAATTATAGAAATAGCACGTTTTAAATAATCTTAATTAGAGAAACTAGGAATTCCAAGGTCAACGACAGTTATCAAGCAGTTTCAAAATGATTAGTGGAAGAAGAAAAAGTTAGGGTTAGAAGTAGGGTGTTTAGGTAGATTCAGGAGTTAAGTTCAAGAGGTGCGATTTGCATTTAATCACTATCTGTCATCATCTATTATGTAAGAATAATTTGTAGCAATCTGAACGAAAAAATCAATATGTATTGTATCGATTCTAAATAGCTGGGGATTTCATTACGAATCGATATTAACTACACTTATAGCTCCACCATTTCAAGGCCAACAATTTGACTGACCAGGCTTAGGTATAAGGAGAAAGGCTAAAGGGAGTGAATTTCCTCTAGTCCCGCTAACACCCCTGACTATGCCTATAATCATATCAAGGAGATTCATCATGTTCTCAGAACCTTAATATGTAGGTATAAGCATTTTTTCATATAGCCCTAAATAGGACGTAATCATTCATCCGTTGTGTTTTGAATACAACGCAAAACTCAGTAGGTCCTATCTTATATCTGATTGGCCTCATGAAAGTTTTCGATATAATATAGTTTTACCACAGTTCATTAGGTTTATCAGGAAATAAAAGAAATATGAATCATGAAGAAATTTTCCACATACCTTTTTCCTAAAAAGTTATATTCACTTAGATTACTTGAGTGAAATCTCGTCTTTTTTATTATCAAATAATTCATCCCAAATTTTGTCCCAATGATGACACTGAAAAGAACAACGAACATTTCACAATTAGTCTATCAAGCATATAGAACACAGTCCCACTTAAGCTTTCCTACTGAGCAACTCATTTTCTTCAATACATATACGTAAAGTAACTTTCTTGTCAAAGATTTCACCTCGGTTTTTATTCTTACATTCTGTTGAAGAAACAGTTAAATGTAGTTTCATGCGAACTTTATATTTTTGTAAGTGATGAGCATCGCAAGTAAAATTAACTGGAATAAATCCGAATTATAAACTGTTAAATCATAAGTGTTAGGTCTGTTTGTTTACCACATCAGTCGTCTAATTCTTATTACTAATAATAAATTCGGATAGATACCATCAAAACCTTCACTTCCTATTAACTATTCATTCATAATCATAATAAACATGACCTAACACTTTTACCATCTTATATTTTAATGATAAAACTTTATATTGTTCTGAACAATATTTACTATCCTGCTCTTTGTGTGCTTGATTTAAACTTTCATTTTTACCAGTCTATTATTTTTTAGTTTCATATTTGATTTTAAAGTGCATTCTATACTTTTCAATAGTTAATCCTGGTTAAACGATTCATGTAGTTTACATGTGTTCATGACTTTAACTGGTCTTCTTTTTTAGTAGTAGCATTTTAAATTTGATGATATTGAAAATTCAATATTGAAATATTATTTTCTACTCATCGGGACATAACAACAACAACGTTTTACCCGATGCTCAGTTTATGTGATACTATCAAGTCCAACCATGTCACTGATACCTAGAATCTGGTTAGTCGAATGTAACTGGTGCAATCACCGAATATTTAATAAACATTGTTTAAACAGTAAAGCTGTTCTCAAGTCTTGGATTGTTAAGTCACTAGAACGTTCGTGATGATTAATTCATATTGCTCAACATGTATCACGAATCATTTAAAGAGAACGTATTCACAAATATACTTTCATTGTAGAAAAATACTGTGAACGTATTAAAAATTTGGATGAGCTCATAGGAGTTTCAGTCCCCACCGAATAATATACTTCCATTTTCGCTCTTTTCAACGAAAGAGATACTTATTATCTGAATGTATCAAAATCAAGAAAAATTAAGAAATTCAAAAATTCGAAGAAAAAATAAAATAATTATTAAGGCTAGTATTTTAGATGTTATGTTAGTCAAACTAATCCCTCTATGGTTATCACAAGATAATTTTGACCCCTTCTTATATATTGAGACAATCAGTGATTGCGACCAATCAGATGAAATTACGTCGAACTCTCAGATTTTAGCTAAAATGTTAGTTAACCTAATCGCTAAAACTGAACAACCTTCCTTAAAGACCTCTGTAGTCAACCTATCTGTTCAGAGCCAGATGAGATAAGTTTACGGGGATCTATCAGTGCAATAGGTTTAGTAGAAATCCATTGGTTTTTCGCGACCTTTTGGTCCAAATCAAAAATAGATATTGCTGCTGCTTCCACAGCTGTTCGTATATCTTTCCAAGCAACATCTGGGTCAGCCTCGCTTTCACAACTATTTAAGTGTGACCTCAATTGTTCCTGGAATCTACATTTGGCTTCCTTGTCACTGAGTTCGACTCTAATGGGCCTTCTTAATGTGGTTTTTCTACGTCCAGTGAGTCGCAAGCAAATGCGTGTTCGTATTAGAGCATGATCAGAGTCTAGACATGTACTCCAGAACAAGCGGTAGGAGTATCCAAGCGACATACTGAAGCCACTTCAATATAACCAAATTAATGTCGTAGATTATTCATACGAAATCAAAGATTTCGAAATTGTTCATCAACAAGAACAAAGCAATGATATGCCATGATATTGTACCTCTATACACTAGCATTCCAGTTGACTGATATCTAGACTTCGTCAACTGTTTACTACAGAACGATAATACTACGTCTAACAGATGTCCATTAGGCATTATTTGAACCATGAAATCCCTCAAACTATGCTTGAATTCAACACTTTTCACTTTCAGAGGGACTTCATATAAACAAACGAATAACGTAGCTATGGGATCGCCAGTATCTCCGACTTATTTATTTATGTCCCATATTTGATGGCTTATTTTTGCCAGTACCATCAGGCCACACATCTGACTCAGGTATGCAGATGATATATTTTTCACAGTTAAAGACACTCTGCTCAGAACTTCCTTCAAACAAATAAACAAGACACATTTAAATCGGCATATTAATTTTAACTCTGGACACCCATTTAGTGCGACCGTTGCTTCAGACGAAGACAAGCAAAAGGAAAAAGAATATAATTGACATACTACGACTTAACAATTTTCCTAAGAATATGATTTAAAAACATATTAAAAAAACTATCTTTCTGTAAATAACAATCCTAATGAAAGGTCTTGGATCGGTACTGAGGTTTTACATTACCACCAAGGTACGACAGAAGAATTACACCGGATCTTGAAAACTTACAAACTTAAAGCCTTGTAAGAGACAATCAACACTACAAAAAATGCTTTAGTTAGAACAAAAGATAAGATTCAGCTTTCTTCTATACAAAATTGTGTCTACAGATTAGGTTTTGTCAGTCTTGCAGTGAGATTTCTTTAATTCATAACTGACTGATTTCAACTCCTGTCTTCACTACCATTAATCCGCTTTCACTTACTTCATTACATTATCATCTAATATCCATTAACTTTACGATTTCAAATCTCCAGCTCAATGTCCTGGAACTTCCCCTATGACACTTCGTTTTTTATCTGACGCAAAAAAATTTCTATGACCTTATTAACTCTATTGGAGTCTCCGGTTCATCATGATAGACATTCATTTTCTATCACCTTCGTACCTAGGTATAATAACTTTGATTTTAAAGTACTATAAGCAGCCGATGATTTAAGTAAATTTAGTTTGGTCTTGATACTTACTTTCAAGAAGGCATTGTTTACTTACATCCAAGTTTTACTGAAATCACATTCCTCTTGCTTACTTCGTTTGGAAAGAGTTAATTTATTTGAAATCAAATAATTTATACAAAACACTTCATGTAAAATAATTTTAAAACTGCTCAAAAAGGCGAAGATATATTATGGTCATTTTTCATATATGTTGGCTTTGTTAAAACCATTTTCATTGAAGATATATGCTTATAAATATATAGTTAAGGCAAGAAATAAAATTCACGAAATCGCTCAGATAACTGTTTTGTTTGGTGATTCATTTATGTGTCATTAATCAATAAATATTAATGTCACTAACCCGAATCTATTTCACCATAATTCATACCAGAAACTGTGATAATTCAGCGAAATTTTAAAAAATCCATGTATATATCTGTTTACTTGCTATTATGACTTGACTTAATTGGTGATGAATTACTCGTCAATATCTTTTCTATGACAACGGATGTAATGAAAATGACTTATCTAACGCTTAAACTGATCTTGCCATGTTGTCCGAATTTCTCGTTCAGAATACCGGAAATGAAAAAGTGCTCTCTCTGTTTTACCTTTAAGTTTATCTATTGGTTCTAGTACACGTACTGATGGACAGTTCTGAAGAAAGGAAGAGAAAGCTAATGTTCACATTTCCGGACAGATCCCATAGAAATCGAAACTAAGGAGTGAACACGCTTTCGAAAGAGTGATCTTTGTTGTCTAGTTGGTAATTAACATGACGTTCAATCAAAATCACTAATAAACGAACGGCTGCAGATTTGTTGGGTTCTATCGAACCTATCCCTATCATAATGTTTAAGCCTGATTTATTTATTCAAACAGATACTGCCATCAACTTTATTTGCCTTAGTGACCTCGGTCTCCAACACGTTACTGAATAACAGCTTGTTTGTCTTTGTATTTCGCAGTTCATTTCATTCAACTTCTTCGAGCATTATCTAAGCATAATTAGTTTTAATCTGATGATCAATTCTATTATTGTAGTTGTTATTACGTGACTTGTAGCATTTATTCAGTGATATGTCTCCCTAACCCTAATTTACTTTTCCTCTAGAGTATTCTGATTATTTTACAGACGAAAGTTTTTTTATTATTGTTCCAAAATAATTGCTCTTTCTAGTATTATTTATTGATGAAAATTTTTCTACTATTATGGTATGAAGTATTAAAACGTTTTTAAACAAAAATGTCCATACTACTACTTTTAGGTTTTATGTAGCTGAAGG